CCAACATGGCACCACCATGGGACAACATCAGCACAGGCATGGCACTGCCACGGGACACCGATGCAGACGTGGCACCACCGTGGGACACCACCACGGCCATGCAACTGCCATGAGTGTGGTCCTGTTGTGGGGATGCCACCACCACGAGCACGGCACCGCCACGGTCATGCAAGTGCCACGGGCACAGAACCGGCACGGTGTGGCACCGCCAGGGACATGCAACGGTCACAGCCATGCAACCGCCACGGGCACAGCACCGTCACAGGCGCGGCACCGCCAAGGACACGCAGCCGTCACCGCCACGCAGCCCCCGCGGGCACGGCACCGCCACAGCCATGCACCCACCACGGGCATGCACCCACCACGGGCACATCCCCATGGCAGCCACACCCCCGGGACACCCCCCAGCACCCAGGGGTGCTCCGAGCCCACCACCCCCCCCGCTCACTTGGGCGACTTGAGGTCGCGGTGGATGATCTTGTGCAGGTGCAGGTAGTTCATGCCGCCGGCGATGCCCATGGACCAGTCGACCAGGAGGGAGGGGGTGACCTTGCGCCCGGCGCGCAGCACCTCGTAGAGCTGCCCCTGGGCGCAGAACTCCATGATGATGCAGTAACAGGGGGCCTGGGTGCACACGCCCCTGGGGGCACAGCGGCACCTCAGCGCCCGCCGGGGGCCCCCCGTTTATCCAGGACACCCAACCAGCGCCCTGTGCCCGTGCCGTGTCCCCCCCATGCCGGTCCATGCCATGCTGGGGGTCCCCATGTGTGTGACGTGATGGTGCCCGGGGCGTGCCTGTGCCACGTCCATGCTGTGTCCGTGCTCATGCCACATCCATGGGCATGCCTATGGCATGTCCATGACCTCTGTGCCTGTGCCCACACTCATGCCATGCCTGTGCTCATGCCCATGCTGTGTCCCTGTTGTGCCTGTGCCCATGCCATGCTCATGCCATGTCCATGCCATGCTCATGCCGTGTCCGTGCCGTGTCCGTGCCCTGCCCATGGCATTCCCCATGCCCACAGCATGTCCATGGCCCATGCCATGTGCATGCCCATGGAGTGTCCATGCCTTTATCCCTCATGCTCATTCCATGCCCATGCCCATGGCATGTCCATACCCTGTGCCCGCATGTTCTATCATGTTCCATGCCCTTTGCCATGCCCATGTCCTGGCGTGCTCGTGGTGTTCCCCCTCACCACGGCTTTCCCGTGCCACATCCAGACTCCACGGCCCTGGCATGACCGTGCCCCACACCACGTTCCATGCCCCACGCCCAGGGTGCCCCCACACCCCACCCGTGCCCACGGTGCCCCCGTCCCCCCACACTGGCACCAGCGGCCCCCCCCTCCCCTGCTCACTTGAAGGTGATGATGTTGGGGTGCTTGAGCTTGCGCAGGTGTTTGATGTCGGTCTCCTTGAGGTCCCTCACCTTCTTCACGGCCACCTCCTCGCCGTGGAAGCGGCCCAGGAACACGGCGCCCTGTGCCCCGCTGCCCACCCACTGCAGGTCCAGGATCTCCTCAAACGGCACCTCCCAGGGGTCTGTGGGCACCCACAGCCATGGCACCCCCACAGCACCCAGAGCACCCTGCTCCTTTGCCCCCTCACACCCTCCTTTGCCCCCTCATACCCGACTTTCCCACCCTTGGCCCCTCCTTTGCCCCATTGCCCCCCGCTTTGACCCTCCTTTGCTCCTCTGCCCCCTTTTCCCCTCCCTCCTCTTCCCCCCTTGCTCCCTTGCCCCCTCACTCCCTCCTTTGCCCCTTGCCTCCCCTTTGCCCTTCCTTCCACCCCCCTCCCCCATGCCCCCAGCCCCCCAGCCCCACGCCCCCTCACCCTCGGGCGGGTGTTTGTGCTCGGCCGCGTAGGCTTTGCCGATCATGGTCCACACGGGCTTGAGGCACCCGAAGAGCCCCTCGAGGAAGCCCCCCCCGGCCTGGCAGCGCAGGTGGGCGGCATCGGCCGCCAGCGGCCCCGCGGCCTCGGGGCCCAGCTCGGGGGGCCGGGAGCCCCCCCGGCGCGGCCAGGCCTCGGGGGGGGCCGTGGGGGCGGGCAGGACATCGCGCAGGACGCACTGGGTGGGCGTCAGCTCCTGCTCGGGGGTCCCGTCCGAGGGCAGCGCCAGCGAGGGCGAGGGCGTGCGGGTCTCGTGCAGGCAGGCCATGGCGGGACCCCCGCCCGCCTGGGGGGACACCGGGGGGTCAGCCGGGTTAGGGGGGGCACCTCCGAACACCCATGGGCACCTCTTGTACCCACAGGCACCGCTTGACACACGTGAGCCCCTTTACACACACGTGAGCCCCTCCACACGCGTGTGCACCGCTGCCACCCACATCTGTAGCCCCCCTGCGTGTGCACAACCTTTGCACACGTGTGTGTCCCCCCTTGCACACTTGCCCCCTCCTCACCCCCTACATGGGGCCAGGGGGCAGAGCCCCCCCCCACCCAGTGCCCACGAGTGTGCGAAGGCCACGTGCAGACCTGCTGGGGGAAACTGAGGCAGGGCGGGGAGGGACGGGGGGTTCAGGGGCTGAGGGGTCCCGGGGACTGATCCGACTCCTATTTGGGAGGGGGGCAGTTACCATGGCAACAGCGGGGCAGGGATGATGTCATCATAAAATTGGGGGTTGAGTCACCGGGGAGGGGGTGTGGGAGGGGCTTAACGTCACCCCGAGGGACCCGGGGAGGAGGGGGGGCACGACCCGCCCCTCCAGGTGTCGCGTGTGTCCCCCCGTGGTGACATCACGTCACGCGGTGACGTCATCCCGGTAAGGGATGGAGCCTTCCCCCCCTTCTCCCCCCGCCCCGGGGGAAACTGAGGCAGAAACGGGGGACCAGCGACCCTGGGGGGGTTTGGACAAAGGGGTTGGGGAGGGAAGGGAGTGTCTGTCGCGACATGCGACAGCGCCGGCCCCATGTCGCGACAGCGCAGAGCTGGAGGAGGGGAGCGGGGGAGTGAGAGCGCCCCCGCCGGCACCACATGTCGGGACATGGCGCCCTGTCGCGACACCGAGGAGGGGGCGGCGGGCCGTGCGCGACGCGCTGTGAGGGGCACACGCGTGTGATGGTGGGGGGGTCCCTGGAGTGTGTGTGGGGAAGGGCAGAGCCGCGGGGGGCACACGCGCGTGCAGGGGCCTGGGGGCCCACGCGGCCCACGCGTGTCGGGGCAAACACGAACCTGAAGGGGGCCTGCACCCGCGGCGGGGTGAGGAGGGGGCCACGAGACCGTGTAAGAGGGGCACAGGCGTGAGGGGGGCGGTGGGGGCGCGCACATCATGGGGGGACACACGGACACGGGGACGCACACACGGACACACAGACGCACCTGCCGCCGTTGCACACGCGTGTGCAAGAGGTCACGCGCGCGTGCACGGGGTGCGGGCACGTCTGCGGGCGGGGTGGGGGGTCACGCGTGTGCAAGAGCATCACCCCCGTGAGAGGGGGGGAGGGGGCCACACGCGTGTGCAAGAGGCCGCTCTGGTCCCCTCACCCCCCCAAGACCCCCCCTCAAATCCCGCGGGGACCCCTCGCCCGGGGCGGGGGAGGAGGGCGCGGCCCCCGGGCCCGGTGGGGGACCTGCGTGGGGGCGCGGGGGATACGCGGCATCACCCGCTGTATCCCCGGTCCTGTCCCCCCACCCCCGATCCCGGTGCATCCCCGGTCCTGCCCCCCCATCACTCCCACCCCCGGCCCCCAATCCCGGCGCATCCTCCCTCCCCGCGGCCTCCCCGTGCCGGCGCCGGTACCTGGGGGGGCTCCGGGCCCCGCGCCCGGGGATGCGGGTGATGCTGAGGGGGTCTCGGGGGGTCCCGGTGCTGGGGGGGTCCTGGTGGTGCTGGTGCTGGCGGGGCTGGGCCCGGCGGGCGGGGCCGGTACCGGGGCCGGGGCCGCGGTCGGGGCGAGCGGCGAGAACGGCCCCGCCCGGTGGGAACGGCCCCGCCCCGGCCCCGCCCCGCGCACCGGAGAGACCGGCACGGACACCGGGACCCCCCCACCGGCACAACACCGGCACCGGGATCTGCCCCCCGATACTGCAGCGGGACCCGGCACTGCGGCGGGAGCCGGAGAGAGCGGCACGGACACCGGGACCACCTCCAATACTGCACCGGGACCCCAATACTGCACCGGGACCCCGATACTGCACCGGGACCCCAATACTGCACCGGGACCCCCCGGACCTGGAGAGAGCGGCACGGACACCGGGACCACCCCCAGTACTGCACCGGGACCCCAATACTGCACCGGGACCCCCCCGAACCCGGAGAGAGCGGCACGGACACCGGGACCACTCCCAATACTGCACCGGGACCCCAATACTGCACCGGGACCCCAATACTGCACTGGGACCCCCATAATGCACTGGGACCCCCCGGACGCGGAGAGAGCGGCACGGACACCGGGACCACCCCCAATACTGCTCCGGGACCCCAATACTGCACCGGGACCCCAATACTGCACCGGGACCCCAATACTGCACTGGGACCCCCCCGAACCCGGAGAGAGCGGCACGGACACCGGGACCACCCCCAATACTGCTCTGGGACCCCGATACTGCAGCGAGACCCCCGTACTGCACCGGGACCCCAATACTGCACCGGGACCCCCCGGACCTGGAGAGAGCGGCACGGAAACGGGACACCCCCGATACTGCACTGGGACCCCACGGCTCTGGGACCCTCACCGGACCCGGGACGCCCCGATACTGCACCGGGACCACCCCGGACCCGGAGAGAGCGGCACGGACACCGGGACCACCCCCAATACTGCACCGGGACCCCCCGCAGAACTGGAGGGACCAGCACGAGCACCGGGAACATCCTCCCCCCTTACTGTACCGGGACCACCCCCCGTTCCGGGACACCCGCCCCCCCGCGATGGGGATGCCCCCCGATACTGCACCGGGACCACCCCCGGCACCGGGAGAGATCGGCACGGACACCGAGACCCCCACCGGGACCTCACCGGCACCAGGAACGCCCCCCCGACACTGCACTGGGACCCCGATACTGCACCGGGAACCCCCCGATGTCGGGACCCCCCGACAGCAGCACCGGGACCTCCAGGAGCAGGACTGGCCTCCTCCGGTGCCCCCAGGACCCCCCCGGCACGGGACTCGCCCGACTTCAGCAGCACGCGGGGCACCAGTGCAATCCCAGTGCTCCCAGTATGGGTGTCCCGCCGTTCCCAGTGCTCCCAGTACGAGTGTCCCACTGTTCCCAGTGCAATCCCAGTGCTCCCAGTATGGGTGTCACTCTGTCCCCAGTGCTCCATGTCTGAGCCTCGTGGTCCCCAGTCTGGGGATCCCTCTGTCCCCAGTGCTCCCAGTGCAACCCCAGTGCTCCCAGTGTGCCTCTCCCTCCATCCCCAGTGCTCCCAGTGCTCCTCCTCTGACCAGCGCCACCTGTGGCTCACCCCCCTCACCGTCTGTCCCTGTCCCCACTGTCCCCATTGTCCCCACTGAGGGGGAAACTGAGGCACGACCCCCTTCCCCCTCCGAGAGCCACGTGGCCCGCCCCCCGTCGCCTCCTCGCGCGGGGGATTGTGGGACTCGTAGTCCGCCGGAGGGGGCGGAGCCGCGTCGGCGCGCGGGGCGGGCGGCTCCGCCGGACTACGATTCCCAGGCGCCCCCGCGCGGCGCTCGCCTCCCGTGATGCCGCGCGCCCCCTGGCGGCGCGGGCGGCGGCCGGAGCGGCGGGGATGAGCGAGGAGGGGGCGGGCGGGGCCCGGCGGAGCGGCGGCGCCTTCCCCAGGTACCGGGACCCCCCCCGGGACCCCCGCGCCAGGCACGGCCCCCGCGGCCGCCACAGACCCCCGGCGGGCGGGCAGCGGGAGGGGCTGGCTAGGCCGCGCTACGGGGAGGGGGTGTGAGCGGCGGGGGTGGTGGGGAACACACACACGTGGGACTGTCCCCGTGTCGCCACGCGAGGGAGGGAGGAGGGGGGGGCAGGTGTGTCCCTGTGGGGTGTGGCGGTGGCATCGCGGGTCTCTGGGTCGCTGGTGGTGCCATCCCTGTCCCCCTGTGGCGCTGCCACCCCCATCCCGGTGTCCCCGGTGGTGCCACCCCTGTCACCGTGTGGCGCTGCCACCTCTGTCCCCATGTGGCTCTGCCAACCCCTCGCCATGTGGCAGTGCCACCCCCTGTCCCCCTGTCCCCAGTGGTGCCACCCCACTCCCCGTGTGGCACGGCCACCCCTGTCCCCGTGCCCTCGTGCTGTGTGGCAGTGCCACCCCCGTCCCCACACTGTGTGGGGGCTCCATCCCTGTCACCACGTTACACACCAAAGCTACCCCTGTCCCCCCCCCATCCCTGTGTCCCCACACTCCATGGCAGTGCCACCCCCTATCCCTGTCCAACGAGGTGATGCCACCCCTGTCCCTGTGTCCCCGGTGGTGCCGTCCCCATCCCCACATCCTAATGCCCCTGGCACCGCCACTCGTGTCCCTGTGTGCCCTCTGACCCGTGGGGAGGTGGTGCCACCCCTGTCCCCCTGCTCCCTGCCGGTGCCCTCCTTGTCCCCGTGTCCCCCCCTTGCCCCGGGGCGGGGGAGGTGACAGCGCTGTCCCTGTCCCTGTGTGCCAGCCTGGAGCAGATGGTGGCCGCCAGCCCCGGGAAGACGCCCATCAGCCTCCTGCAGGAATATGGGACACGCTTAGGACGGACCCCCGGCTACGACCTGCTCAAGGCCGAGGGCCAGGCCCACCAGCCCAACTTCACCTTCCGCGTCACCCTCGGGGACATCAGCTGCACCGGTGGGACCCCAACACCCTCAGACCCCCCCAAACCCTTCCTGACACCCCCAAACCCCTCCTGACCCTCTCTGTCCCCTCAGGAACATCAGCTGCACTGGTGGGACCCCAAATCCCCCCAGAGTCCCCTCAAACCCCTCCTGACCCCTGTGTCACCCCCAAGGGACATCAGCTGCACCTGTGGAATCCCAACCCCCCAAAACAACCTCCCTCTGACCCCTGTGTCACCCTCAGGGACATCCCAATGCCTCCACACCCAGGCCATGGGCCCCCCTCACCCCCCAGGGGTGTCCCCCTACCCAGGGGAGGGTGAGGTGGGGGAACCACAACCTGGGAGAAGTGTGTGGGTGGGTCACACTTTGGGCGACCCAGGGCTTGTCCCAGAGAGGGGGGAACCCTGGGACCCCTGGAAAAGTGGGTCCTGCTGAGGAGGACCCCTCCCTGAGCCCCCCCCGTGCCCCCCAGGGCAGGGCCCCAGCAAGAAGGCGGCGAAGCACAAGGCGGCCGAGGTGGCCCTGAGGCTGCTCAGAGGGGGGGGGGCCATGCTGGAGCCCCCGGAGCACAGGTGGGGGGTCCCAGGAGGGGCTGGGAGGGAGTTTGGGGGGCTGTGGGGGGGTGCCCAGGCAGTCTGGGGGTACCAAGGGGTGAAGGGCACTGAGGTTTGGGGGGATCTGTGGGGCAGGAGGGCGTCCAGGGGAGTTTGGAGGTTCCCAGGGGGGCTTGGGGATCCCATGGGATTTGGGTTTGGGGGCACTCAGGGGGGTCTGGGGGTGCCCAGGGAGGTGTGAGGGTGCCCAGGGAAAGTTTGAGGATACCCAGGGGGGTCCAGAGGTACCCATGGGGGTCTGGGGGTACCCTGGGGGTTTGGGTGCCTGTGGGGCTCTGGGGTGCCCAGGGTGGGTCTGAGGGGTATCCGGGGGGAAGTGAGGGTATGAGGGGGGTCTGGAGGAGTCTGAGGGGTCCAGGGGTGTTTTGGGGGGTGCCCAGGGGGTGCCAGCTCAGGCTTTAACATCTCCCCTTTCTCCCCCAGCTCTCCTTTCCCCCCAGAGCCCCCGACTGAGCCCGGCCCCGCCGCTGCCCCCCCAGCTCCTGCTGTGCCCCCTCCCTCGCCCAGGTAACAGTGGGGGGCACCCAGTGCCAGGATGGGCATGGGGGGGCATGGTGTGTCCCCAAATCTCCCATCCCCTCACCCTATTATCCTGCTGGGAGGGCTGGGGGGAGATGTGGGGTGCCCCCCTCATCCCTCTGCCCTCCACAGGGGACCCCCCTTGGAGATGAAGACACCCGTGTCCCCCCCCCAGTCGGAGTGTAACCCCGTGGGGGCTCTGCAGGTGGGTGACTACCCATTTTGGGGCCCGTTGTTCCTGCCTGGGGACAGCTACCCCCGTTTTGGGGCTGGTTATCCCCATTTTGGGGCTGGTTATCCCCATTTTGGGGCGGGTTATCCCCGTTTCGGTGCCGGTTATCCCCGTTCCGGGTGCTGCCAGCCCCTTCTGGGGGCGGTGTCCCCGTTCAGGGGGCATCCCTCTCCCAGTTTCCCGTGTCCCCAGGAGCTGGTGGTGCAGAAGGGCTGGCGCCTGCCCGAGTACACGGTGACCCAGGAGTCGGGGCCGGCGCACCGCAAGGAGTTCACCATGACCTGCCGCGTGGAGCGCTTCGTGGAGATCGGTGAGCCGCGGGCTGGGGGGGCCACACGGGGACCCCCAGGGTGTCTGTGGGGACGGGGCAGGGTGTCCTGGCTCACCCCAGGCCGCTGGGCCGCTCTCCCCAGGCAGCGGCACCTCCAAGAAGCTGGCGAAGCGCAACGCGGCCGCCAAGATGCTCGTGCGGATCCACAACGTGCCGATGGAGCCGCGCGACGGCAGCGAGGCCGAGGGCGAGGAGGACCAGTTCAACATGGTACTGGGGGGCGCTGGGGAGGGGGGCACTCCACGGCCCAGTGGGTAACCGGGGAGGGGGGGACCCTCTGGATTTGGGGTCCTTGGGGAAGGGTGTCTGTGGTCCCCATGGGTGTCCCGGTGTTGGGGTCCCTGCAGTTCCCATGTCCCTGGGGAGGGGGCTCGGTGGTCCCAAGGGGGGCTGGCGGGTTCCTGAGTGCCCTGTGCCCCCCCCCTGCAAGACGTGCCCCCGGCTGGAGGGGCTGCGGGGCCGAGCCCCTGGCTGTACCTGGGACTCCCTGAGGAACTCGGCGGGCGAGAAGTTGGGGCAGCTGCGGAGCCGGGGAGGGTGCCCCCGCGCCGGGGGGGGCCTGTGCCCTCCTGCAGGAGCTCTCGGAGGAGCAGAGCTTCGCCATCAGCTACCTCGACATCGGTGAGCACCCGGACACCCCCAGGACCTCCTCTACCCTTCCCCAGGCACCCCAGGCTACCCCCACCCACAGGTGCCCCAAGCCGGGCTCAGGGGTGCTGTGGGGGTGTCGGGGTGACCCCGGTGTCCCCTCCCCAGACGCGCTGAGCCTCAGTGGGCTGCACCAGTGCCTGGTGGAGCTGTCGACGCAGCCGACCACCGTGTGCCACGGGGCCGCCCCGTCCCGCGACGGCGCCCGCGCCCAGGCCGCCCGCAACGCCCTGCAGTACCTGCGCATCATGGCGGGGGGCAAGTGACCCCCGGGGGCAAGTGACCCCCCCCGGACACACCCACGGGCCCACGGACACACCCCAGGACTCGCTGGACCCACGGTGGGGCACCCGGCCCCCACCCACCGCCCCCCGGACACAGGGACCCACCTGGGTCCGTGGATGGACAGACAGATGGACCTCAGGGCCCAGGGGCTCCTTCCAGCCTGGCCCCCCCCCCCCCCACCGGTGCCAGGAGGGTCCCCGGGCACCATCGGCCCCCAGGAATAAAGCTGGGGGGGTTTGTACTCCCCGTGTCGGCGTCTGCTTGGGGGGCTGGGGGGGCAGAAAGGGGGCTGGTCCCTCCTCCCCTCGACCCGTCCCCCCAGGGGCAAAAGCAGAGCGAGCGCTCGGGGTGCGGGTTTGGGCACCACTTTATTGGGTGATGGACGGACCCGCGGATGGGCTTGGGAGGGACTCGGCTCCAGGAAGGGCGGACGGACAGACGGACTCGGGCCGGGGACGCTCAGCGGCGGCGACCGAAGCGCTGCGGGGTCGCCATCGTCCAGAACGGGGCGAGCGGGGGGTCCCAGCTCCGGGGGCTGAGCCGGGCCTGCGCCCCCCCCTGCGGCCCCCACCCCGACCTGCAAGGGGACACGGCACCGCTGAGCCCCGGCGGGGACAGGATGGGGACGGACGGGATGGCTGGGTGGGAATGAAGGGATGGATGGGACAGATGGGAATGGGCTGAGGGACACGGACAGGCAGACACAGGACAGACGGACATTAACAGGGACCCCCACCCCTGCACCGCTCCAGCCTTTCGCTCGGAACTCCCGAAACCCTCCGGGCCCCCTCCACCTCCTGCGTCCCCCCGGCGTTCCCAGCCCCGTCCCTCGGTGGCCCCGCAGTGCCCGGGACGCCTCCAAGTGCCCCCAGACCCCGCACCCCGGGTCCCCCATCCCTGCTCACCTCTGGGGCTGAAGGAGAGTCCCGGGGGAGCGGCCGGGGCGTTGCAGGGACCGGAGCAGCGCGCCCAGGGCGGCGGCGGCGGCGGCGGGGGGCGACCCCGGGGGGACGGCGGCGGTGACCTGTGCCGGGGGAGGACCGGGGGTCACGGTGGTCCCGGAGCCGGAGTGTGACCCCCCCCCCATCTGCAATCATCCTGAGCCTCCCCCCGTCCCAAACCAAACCCCCCCGTTTCGACGGCGCGGCCGGGTCGGGGCTCACCGGGGCCGGTTCGGGGGTCCCGGGGCAGCAGCGGGCGCTGCGCGGGGTCCCCGCCAGCAGCAGCAGCAGCAGAAGCAGCGCCGGGCGCCCCGTCATCGCCCCCGCCATCGCCCCCGCCCCGCCGCCACCGCCTCTTATAGCCCGGCCGGGCCGGGGGGTCCCGGGGGAACGGGCTAATTAAACCCATTTACCAGCCGCGACAGCCGCCCCCGGGGACGGACGGACGGATGGACGGGGCGGTCCCGCACATCCCCGCCCCGCCCGGGCCCCGTAACCGGCACCACCGGGACTGTCCGCACTGGCGGAGCGAGACCCCCGGCCCATCCTCGGGACCCCCGTCCTGTACCGGCACTACCCGAAAACAGGACCCCACCCCGCGCTGAGCCCCCCTCTCCCTGCACCGCTTCCCTAGCGGAGCAGGACCCTCTGAGACAGGGGCCCTCTCTGGAGACCCCCCGTTACCCCCTCTCTGGAGACCCCCCGAGAGAGGGACCCCTCCCTGCCCCGGACCCCCTAAGACAGGGACCCCTCCCCTTTCGGGGGACCCCCCGCGCCCCCCCCGCTCCTCCGCGTCTCGCTGCCGCCATCCGGTGGTCCCGCCGCGCTCCTGCAGCCCCGACGGCGCGGCCGCGGCTCCCTCCGACCCAAAACCTGTGGAAATCGCCCCAAACGCTCCCCCGAGGGTGCCCCCGCGCCACTGCGGCGTCCCCGCGTGTCCCCACAAACAGCTCACCCGCTGTGCCACCCCGCGGGAAGGGGCGTGACAGTCCCACGCCGTTCTGCGTCCAAGGGTCATCACAGCACCCTCCATCCAGTGACACCCCCCGGGGACACCCAGGGATGTCCGTGGGACAGGTGACACCGGGGATAACCCCTCCCTTCCCCCCCCCCCAAAAAAGCAGAGGGCAACAACCACCACCATCTCCTGGGTAATATTTTAATGTTATATTTGCAGCATAAATAAAAGGCACGTTACATGTTTGGTACGACACGGCCGAGGGGGGTGTGGAGGTTTGGGACGTGTCCCTCGGGTCCCCTGCCCCGCGTCCCCGGGCCCCCGCGGGGCTGTGAGGACCCGCTCACAGGAGCCCGTGCGGAGGGGGGTCCCTCGGGGGCTGCGGAGGGTGGGGTTTTTTTTTGGGGGGGGGGATTTTCAGCTAAAAAGGAGCTGCCCCGCGGCGGCGGCCGATCTACGATATATGGGTGCATATACGCGTCGATATGGACTGATAGATACTACACGGTTACGCTTCTCGGGGCGGGGAGGGAGGAGGGGGTGTTCTTTTTTTTTTTTTTTGGCTTCTTCCATTATTGATCGTCAAAGCTCGTGGTACAAAGCAGCTGGGTGAGGGCAGGGGGTAGGGGGGGAACGCCCAGGACCCTCCTCCCGCGTCCCTCTGTCGCCTCCTGGGCTCGTGTGCACGGAGCTGGGCGGGGGGAACCGAAGAGAAACGGGTCCAAAGAGTCCGAAAATGGCACAATTTCCCACCTGAGCCGCCCAATTCCCGAACCAGGGACCGACCAGTCTTGGTGGTGGTGGGGAAATGCGCCACCAACCCTTCCCACCCGCCCGGTCCTGAGGGATTTGGAAGCCGACGAGGAGAATTTCATCTCTGCCAGAGGGAGAGGAGGGAAGGAGTAGGAGCTCCCTCATCACGAACTCCCCCGGGCCGTGGTTTTCAGCCATTTGTTCCTATTCAGTGTTACAGTAACGATAAAAATCGGTCAAACTCGACTCCCACGGGCTGCTCCTGCTGTCTGGGCTCCCCCCCAAGCTCGACCCCAACACAAAGGAGCCCTTTCAACCCTGCAGGGCTCCCCTGAGGAGCCCCCGTGCCACCCTCCCCCCATTTCAGGCCCTGGCAGAGGGATGGAGGTCCCGGGGATCGGAACACGGGATGGGATCGGGAGTGGGGGGCAAGTGGAAGCCCTGGGACACCTCAGGATTCCAGGGGAGCCCAGGGCTGGCAGAGCAAAGTGCAGGTGCCCGGCACTGCCGAGCGGGGCTGGGGGCTGCCAACCCCCGGGAGCCTTGGAAAAGCAGGAAAAATCACCACGGGGCAGAAAGCAGGTTGTTTTGCCCCAAAGGCGTCCACAAGGTCTTCAGGCAAGAGCTGAACCAGCAAGGGGAGGAGGAGGAGGAGAAAATGCCACCTTCATCCCACCTGTCCTCACAGGGGGACCCAGCACAACTGACCTGACAGAAAATCTGACTTCCCACCCAAGAAAACACCCCCAACTCCCTGCACATCCCCAGCACCAAGCCAGCCTGGAGAGGGAACTGCTCCCAAGGGGAGGCCATGAGGAAGGGGAGGATGATGAGGGGCACAAACCAGCTCTTCCCAGCAGTTTGGGGAGAAAATTACACTCCCTGGAGCCCAAAGGCTCCCTGGGAGCAGAGACCACCCTGACCCTGGATCTCCTCACCCAGACAGCCTGATGGATCAACAGGTGGCTGCTCCATCAGCCTGAGGGGCTGGAGGAGTCACCCCTTGAACCTTCCACCTCCTTCAGAGGGGACCTTCAGCCCCTTCCCAGGTTTTGGGTGGCTCTGCCGAGACCCCAGCGAGGGATGAGCATCACCCCCGTGCCCCAGAGTGACTCCTGGGACATCACCCATCACCTGGATGGGAGTAGAGGATCCTCCTGAGGCTGGATCCCTGTGGATTCCTGCTTTGCACCATCCAGCTCCATCCCAGCAGGAGAAATGGGACCTGAGCCCTCTCTGGGATCTGCTTCCAGGGCAGCCTTTGAGGTAAAACACACCTGAAAGGGGCACAGGGAGCTCCAACCCTGCGACTGAAGCAACAGTTAAGTCCAGGTATGGCCAAATGCTTGTTCCCTGCCCAGGTTTGGAGCTTTCCAACCGCCTTTTCCTGGATTTGCAGAATTTTCAAGGCACTAAAGCACTGGCGATGGGAGATGTGGGAATGGGGTGGCACCGGGGCATGGAGGGAGGGGGAGAAAAGCTGCTCCTGCACCCCCATCCTGGTGGGGCCACCAGGATTCCCTGGAGTGCTGAGGCAGGAAAAGCCCTCCGTGAGCTGCAGGCTCGGCTCTCCCATCACACAAAATCAGACAATTTTACTCCCCAAGGGTAAAACAAGAGGCTGGGGAAGCTGCTGCCTTTGATCCAAACACTGTCCCAGATTTTCCACCCCTGATCCTGCCAGTGAAGCCCCTTTGCCTCTCCTTCCCCCCAGACCCCACAGCAAACAGGGAACCAGCAGTGGGACCAGCCCAGAGCTCAATTCCTTCCTTCCTTCCCCTTCCCACCAACACTTTTCCCAGAGGGACAAGTTTTCCTGCAGAGCTGAGCGCTGGGATGGCCCAGGAGGGGCCACGTCCCGGGATGGGACGAGGAACGGTGGAAACATCTGTGAACCCATGGGCTGTGCAGGAACAGCTTTACAGGAGGGATAGGCGGGTCTGGGGGGCTGTGTGGGATCCAAACCAGAGGTTGGATGTGATCCCAATCACAGACAGGAGTTGGGATGAGCAAGAGAACAGAGGGGAGTGAAGGAGCAGCAACACAACCAACCCCAGGCCGCGTGTGGTCGGTACGGCCGCAGAGGTGAGGAAGACCTGGGAGAGAGGGAGAGGGAGAAGACAGATCCCATCCACGGAAAAACCCAAACCACTGGACTTCCCCATCCGTGATGAGGTCCCAGGTTTCCTGCTCAGCCTTTGCTTTGGGTTTTGCTGTCCCTGGAAACCTTCCAAGTCTGGGGAAGCCAAAGAAAAATCACTTGGACAAACCAACTTGGCTCCAAAGTGGCGAAGTGCGACCTGAGGGGGAGGAGGGTTTGGCTGAGGAGGAACCTGGGAGGGGGAGGAAGACCAAGGGCTGATGCAGCTCCACGGACTGGGACGAGATTCCTTCCAAGAGCCTGAACTCACGTGAAACTCCTTCCCATTTCCAAACTACCGGCTCCAATCGGCACCTCGGGAAGCACAGACGGACACACACGGACACACAGGTGCCCAGCGCCCACCTGGCAGGAAAACAGACCCAATTCCAAGAGTCTCCCAACACGGAGGGTGGGTTCTTAACCTGCCCTATGAACTGGAAGCTCCGTGAATCCTTTGTTTGCTCTGGCTGGGAAGCAACGGACGCTCCGTCGCCGCGAGCGGAACATCATCGCGAGGAAGAGGCAAAAGAGCGGGCAGAGACGCCATCCCGTGCTCCCTCCCCTCGGAACAGGCAACTTAATCCACGATTTAAGGCCACCATTATTAAGGTCATCGAGGTCATGTGTGTGGGAGGTGATCCCTGGGGAGGCAGGGGTGGGTTTTGCTCAGGTGTGCGGCGGAGCTGGGGCCGGATGCCGGATTTGGGGACTCACACGTCGCTGCCTGCTGGGTCCATCCCTGAATCCCAGAGCGCCCGGTCCCTGTGGATGCCCATCAGCACTGGTTTGCCGTAGGGAAGACGGGAGCAGCCCCGTGGCTGCCTGGACAGGCCGTACCTTTCCCAGCCCCTGGTGCGGGAGCAGCGACCGGGAACGCGTCGTCCCCTTCTCCCAGCCAAATCCACGGCGCTCACGCTCCCGCCGTGTCCGAGATCCACCGCTGGAATTTGGGAGCGAGGAGACCGACCCCGATCCCCCGTTAAGCTCAGAGCTCCAGGAGGCTCCTGTGCCAAGGTGCAACGTTTGAGGGAGAGGGAGCGGGGATGAGCAGACGCCTTGGGAGCAGCACTGAGTGTCAGAGCCCCCCCGAGCCCCTCTGCTGAGGGTGAGGGGCAGGGAGAGGGGGCTTGGAGCAGGGACTGTGCCGAGGGGATCCCCGGCACGGAGGTTTAGTGTTACTGTAACAGATCCCTGCCAGCCCACCTTTCCAGGTGCTCTCAGAGGGGGCTCTGGGAGCTGGGGGGGCTCTGAGGGACCGAGGGCAGCGCTCGGCCCGCGGGGCCGGGGCTGTACAGGCTGTGCAGTGGGAAAGCGCCAGAGCTGCCCTTAACTCAAAAAAAACAAAACAAAACAAAACAAAAAAAATCCCAAAAAAAAAAAGAAACCAAAAAAAAAGAAATGAAAATCCTCGTGGGCCCGCCCTGGGCAGGGCCAGGGGCCGTGGTCAGTCTGTGCTCGGCTCCGGGCCATCATCTGCCGGCAGACTGGGACTGTGGGGCCATGATGACGTGGGAGGGCAGGCCCAGCTCTGTCCTTTGCCCGGCCATCTGCGTCAGCACTGAGGTGGCCACGGCCTCGGCCGCCGAGCGCACGCTGAGCCCGTTCGGGGCGGCCGACGCGGAGCTGTGCTGGATGACGGGCGCGGGGGAGCCCGTGGGCTCCGAGCTCTCCTTCGGGCTCTCTGCTCCAGGAGGGGGAAGGAGGGGAGGGAAAGAAGAAAACAAGGTTAGGGAGAGGCTGTGGGGGTGGGTGGTGGTCGTGGCACGGCGAGGGGGGGCGGGAGGTGCGGGTTGAACGCTCACCTTTCCGGCCTGGAGCGGAGAGAGGATGCCTATGGAAGCCCAGCTCCCCCCCCGATCCTCGCCAGGCACTCCCCTGAGCCCCCAACCCACCCCAAGCAGCTGTTTGGGCAAAAGCTGCCAAACACTGGAAATAAAAACTGATTGGAGGACTGGAAGCAAAGCTGCTTTGAGTTGGGATCTAACGACCCCCTCCCACCCCAGGACCTGCTGGCCCCAGTCCCTTGGGAGAAGCACCATGGAATCCTCCTGAATCCTGGCCAGGAAACCACAAAGTGCAGGCTGGACCTCGAGGAGGGTGGCACTGGCATAACCTTCCCCCTAATCAATGTGTTTCCTCGTTACAAGGAATTAACTTCCCCCCACGCCACCTCCTCTTCTCCAGGCTGAGGCTGAGCAGCCCCTTCCTCAACCTGCTGGGTGGGCATGGGGGATGTGAAACACAATCTCTTTGGCAGAGCCAAAAGCTGGGCTCTTTGGGGCATTTTTGATATCAATTACCTGGTTTGCTCTTTATTGTTCTCCAGGACATTAAAATCAACCAGGGACCCTCTGCTTGCTCCATTTCTTTTGGTAGCTTTGAAGCAGCATGACTGAGGGGATGGGGGCAAACAAAGGCAGAGTCCTTCTTCCCTGCTCTGTTCAGCTTCCAGAACTTGGGATTCTCTCCCCCAAGGAGCCCCCAGAACTCCTCACAGCAGGTTGGAGAACGGGCTTGGGGAAGGTTGAGCAGAGCAATGTAATCATCTGGTGTCCCAAAAATCAGGAGATTTACAAGATATTAAAAATAAACCTCCCAGGTGGACAGGAGGCAGCTGCAATTCCAGCAGGGAATCTGGGCCTTTGTAACAGGACCAGCCACAAATCTCAGTAATAAAAAAGGCAGAGGGGAGGGGGTGAACCTCATTTTTAGTATTCAGATGTGTCACGAATTCCTGTTATTGCAGCAGCCAGACTGGTGAGGAATAGTAACAGGAATTGTAAACTTTGGAAGTTAACGGGGGGAGGGAGAAAAAAATGAGGTCTCCTGTCTGGGTTCTGCAGGGCTGGGACACAGGGACATCACTCAGGCCCTGAGTCACTGCACTGAGTCACAATGAACGGGCTGGGCCAGACCCTTCCAGGACAACATTCCCAGAGAGGGATCAAGGGCCAACCTGCAATGACACTGGCTTTTTAAAATTTTTCGGGGTTTCCTTCCTTGGTATTTTCTGTTCCCCCTTCCCTTCTCTCCTCTCATCCATCCCTGCCTCTCCTCCTGTTATTCCAGGCAACACTAGAGGACTCCAGCGTCCTCCCAAAGCCTCACAGCTCCACAGCCTGCAACTGGTACTGCAGGCAGGGCAGAAGGACCCAGGATCGTGTTTAGCTCCAGGGTTGATTATAATGAAATAGGCAGCATTTAAAAAAAAAAAAAAAAAAAAGAAGGAAAGAAGATTAAAAAAAAGAGGCTTTTTTGCTTCCAAACCGAGCCAGTTTGATGGGAATTGCAGAGAATGAGCTATGGAGCCCTATGATGTCATTTATAGAGTCTGGCCTTTCCTGACTCTGCCTTTGCTCTGGAGCAGCAAGAGTTTTTAACTTCAAAGAGAATATCAAGTGCTTGGCACGTTGCCAGGGGCAGGGAGAGACTCCAGGGAGAAGCAGAGAGATGGATCTCTGTCCAGTATCCCCTCCCAGAGGCAGAGGGAGACACACACCTCCTTCCCTCCAAAGATCTTGTACACCAAAGTGCCAGTCTGGGGGTTCCTCCTCAGCAGAAGATGCCCTGAGGCACATGTGGCATTCTTGGGGTGCCCTGTGCAGGGCCAGGAGTTGGACTGGATGAGCCTTCTGGGCCCCTCCCAGCCCTGGGTGTTCTATATTCCACATGCCCTGTGCTCCCTTCCGTGTTTCTGTGACAACAGCTCTGCCCTGCCACTATCCAGCCACTGGAAGCTGAGGGGGCACAGATGGAGAGAAGAAATCCCTCCCTTCCTTTACAGCTTGTAATCCTGACCTGCTCAGACCCACTCAAAGGTAACAGGGACCAGCAGAAGCCCACCACTCACCCAGGTAGCCCTGTGTCTTCTTCTGCAGCGCCGTGACAGGACAGTCCTTGTGGGCCAGGAGCAGCTGCTTGAGCTGGGCCACCTCGTTCCTCAGCAGCGTCACTTCATTCTGATGGGGGCAAACACACCTGGGCATCACTCACAGCAGCCCCAGCTGCACCAGGATGTTCAGGGGTGTACCCTGCAAACTAATCTGAGACACCTCCGGCCCAAGAACACCCGGCAAAGTTCCTGGGTTTGAGGAATTTAAGGCATGGGTTGTAGAACCCTTGCTACGGTCACCTAACCCTGGGCAGAGCTTTTCCTGAGCCCTCCTGCCAGTGCCACCTGCCTGAGGGACACTCTAGAGGGGACACTGCAGCTTCTCTGTGCTCTCAGTACCTCTGCTGAGCTCCCATGAGCCAGGTCTGCTCCCCAAAAACCTGTACAGCAAATTATTCCTCTGAAACCTCTGTAGAAACAGCCGAAACCCAGACAATGGTAACCCAAAACTGCCCAGGGAAATAGTTTCTATAATTGTCTTGGGAAGAGGATAAAAATACCGTGGTCAGAGCTCCAGAAAAGATCCCAGTGCCAGAGTCACTGGCCCAGAATGGAGTCAAGCTCAGTCCTCACCTCTCAGTCAGTGCTGAGAACACTAACAGGGTTAGTTAACAGGGCCTTGAGGCACTGGGAGTGAAATCTGTATTTTCAGGTGTGCTGCACCTCTGGTTGGCATGCCAGAGTGCTGCCAAGAGCCAGGGAAACCCAGTTCTCCAGAGAAAAATCAGTCTGCAGAGCCTCCCTGCTCCCCTCTGCCGAGTCCAGTGTGCAGGGAAGGGAGCTGAGAGAGCTCTCCCTCACTCTGGAAAAAAAACCCAGCTGCTTCCCGAGGTTCCACGTGCTGCCTCCAAGCTTGGCAGCCAGAGGGCAGAGCCTTTCCAGGGGTGGCGGGGAGAGAAAGGAGTACTGAGGTGCTCTTTCCCCAGGGGCTGCTTTCCAACCCATCAGGATGGGAAGTCAGGAGTGAAATCTGGGCGGGGAGGCAGCAATCCTGCCCCGAGAGAGCAGCAATCCTGCCCTGGGGAGAGCAGCAATCCTGCCCCAGAGAGAGCAGCAATCCTGCCCCAGAGAGAGCAGCAATCCTGCCCCGGGGAGAGCAGCAATCCTGCCCCAGAGAGAGCAGCAATCCTGCCCCAGAGAGAGCAGCAATCCTGCCCCAAAGAGAGCAGCAATCCTGCCCCAGAGAGAGCAGCAATCCTGCCCCGGGAGAGCAGCAATCCTGCCCCGGGGAGAGCAGCAATCCTGTCCCGGGGAGAGCAGCACCCCGAGTGCCCGTGGGGCAGACGTTCCCTCCGGAGGGACGTTCCTCCCCAAGGGCTGCTCTCAGCCCCTGTTTTACATACTCACGCTCAGCTGGATGTTCTGGGTGGTGAGTTCCTCGGCTTTCTTCTCCAGGGAGGACACCCAGAGCTTGCGTTTCTGCCGGCAGCGGGAGGCGGCCGCCCGGTTGCGCTCCAGGAACCGCTGCCGGCGCTCGTCCGGATCCTCGTCCACCGTGCGCTTGCGGCGCCCGCCCGTGCTGGGGGTGGGCTGGGCGGGGGACACCTGGGGATGGGGCAGGTGGAAGACACTGAACAGCAGCTCTGGGGCAGCAGGTAGGACGCGGCGGTGCCACCACGGCTTGGCAGAGCAGAGGGCAGGGCTGGGAGAGCTCGATCCCGCTCGATCCCGCTGCTGCACCCGCTTGAGGTGCCACCTCCGTTTGGGGTCAGGAAGTCACGGAGCAAATGGCAGTTTCTGAGTGGGCAATCTGCTTAAAAAATTAATTTGGGTGAACTTTCCCTCAACAGCTTCAGCTAAACAAGCTCTTGGAGGTAAATGGTGCCAAAGGATTTTGTAAAGCTGCGTGTTTCCTGGTTTTATTTCGGGAGAACAAAGGAAAAGCCAGCGAGGGTTGATGGTGCTGCAGCCCCGGCTGCAAGGGGCAATTACACCCAGGGAGTGCAGCCACACTCCAGCACTCGCTGTCGGGCAGCATATGGATATTAAAACTTCTGGAAGCCCATCCAAGTGACGGAGCAGGTGGCGATCCTGATGGAAGGCTGGCATTTGGCTGGCTGGCAGGAGCCAGCGGAGCTGATTGCCTGAGAGGGGAGCGTTTAACCCCAGTAATTGAGCAGGGAGAAGAGAGGGAAACATTCTTTCCAAACTCCAGACCTCGTCAGGCAAATGAAAGCGGTGCTGGAGCTTCTGCCCGGTGGGCTGGGAGCGCGACAGTGCTGAAGCGGCACTGGAAAAACAAGGCTTTAACCCACTCTGTAAGGGAGGAAACTGCAGATTTCTTGCTCCTTCTCCAAGCCCAGGAACCCCCCAGCACCTCCAGCCCAGCCTCATGGGGCAGCAGCAGCAGCAGCAGACCTGTGGCTGAGCCGGGGAAGGGGCGTCGGGGTGCTGGACGAGGATCTGGCTCTGCTCCGGACGCGCCGTCACCATCGTGCTGGCTGAGCCCACCACCAGGTTGCTGCCGTTCAGCGAGGAGGAGGCCGTCAGGCTGGCCTTCAGCCTCTGTGGAAGGAGGAGAAGGGGCATCAGGGACCTGCTCTCTGTGCTGCCAAGGCTCTGAGCAACTCCTGTCACCCTGCTGGGAACGGGCCCTTCAGAGGCTGTGGCTGACTCGAGTCCAACCCAGAGCCATCACCATCTGGCCTGCCCGAAGAGAGAGCAGTGTCCAACCCAACGGACAGGTGTCACATCCCAAAATTGCTTCTGCCACTGGCACCCAAACCCCTCCCCAGCTGGCAGCCTCCATGGAAAGCCCAGGGACTGAACAGGCTGCAGAGCCCAAATGCTCCCAAGCACCCAGAGAGGGGTCCTGGGGGATGGAGAAGGACCCACACGTGTCTTGCAAGTCCTTTCTCTGAGCAGCCAGGCCAGCACGGTTGTTTTGTGCCTCAGATTATGATCTCTCTCCCCACCTGAGGCTCTGATGTGCCCCTGAGTCCTGCAGACCCTAAAACAGGAGTGGGGACAATAAGCTGGCAATTGTGAGCAGCACAGCGGGGAGAGGTGGGTGTGCAAACACCTGCCCGGCCAAAAAACTGGGGGTTTCAGAAAATCATGGAATCACTGAGGTGGGAAAAACCCTCTGAGATCACTGAGTCCTGGTACTGCTGAGCCATGTCCCCAGGTGCCACATCCACCAGCTTTGCTTCCCCCCTGTGCACACCCAGCCTGAGCCATGAGGAGCCACGAGAGGAAAGTTCCTCTTGTAAACTCTCAGTTAATGTGTTTGACATGAGAACCATGACCAGGATCTCCTGAGTTACAGCCCAAACCTATCCTCCCTTGGCTTTACCTTCCTCAATCCCACCTCCATCCCATCTTCCTGAAGGCTGTGGGGGAAAAGCCTCCAACTGGGAGTTGCTTGTGGAGGTGGTGGTGGTGAAGGCTGAGGGGCAAGGACAACACCGTGACCGTGACCCCCCTTCCCAACACTCACCATTTTGGCTTCGGAGTGCACTGGGAGTCCTGACGGGGAAATGGACCCGCTGCTGTTGATGGGAGGCCCAGGAATCCCGGGAATGTTCGGCACCATGGACATCGGCCGAGCCAGCTGTGGGGGAGGGAGAGACACGCGGGTTGGGAAGTGGAGGTGCTTTGGCTCCGTGGAGCAGCTCGGCAGCAACTCCCTGACCAAGCACATCCATAAATCCTGACAAACGTTTAACTGCGGCCATCCGTTATTCCTGCTGTCACTGAGGGCCACCAGCCACGTTGGTGGCCACGGAGGCTGTTCCAGAATCACCCAAACAAACCAGCCCAGCACGGAGCACAGGGAGGGGGGAAGCTCCTGGTTCCATCGCAAAGCTGCCACAACACCCAAAGGGGAGGTCACAGCGTCCCCTCCTGAGCTTTCTCCCTCAGCAAAGGGAGGGAAAACCAGAATTTGGACATGTTTATAAGCCCCTTGGGTGGTAAAACACTGCAAATTGGGAGGGGAAGGGGTGAGGATGCTCCCATGCCCACAGGCCATGACTAAAGGTGTACCTGAGGCAGTTGTGCACTCAAAGCCTCAAGGACATGCCCAGCAGGACAGACAGGATTCCCAGGGCTGGGAATCAGGAGCTGGAGAGCTCAGAGGGCACACTCAACACCCAGATCTGCACTCTCTGTGCTCAGAAGCCCAGCCCGAGGCCGGTATGGTCGTTCCCTTGGCCAGCACACACCAACATGTTCCCTGCAAGCTCCGATGGTTTCAGTGCAGGCACGCTGTTCCAAATGGAAGCAGCTAATCAGGGATCCTGCAGCTCCCAGCCCCGGATCGATGGTGTGAGCCATCTGTCCGGGCACGGATTTGCTTTTTTTGTTTTTTTTCCCCAAACTTATTGCCCTCTAGTGTGATCCACATGTTATTGCTGCTCCCTCCTCCTCCTCCTCCTCCTCCTCCTCCTCCTCCTCCTCCTCCTCCAGTCTTATCTCGCGCAGAGGGGGAGAGAGAGAGGTTTTAATGTTTATGAAACGCTGAGTTGCCTGCGTGTGTTTGGCAGGGGGAAAGGCCCGTCCCCTCCTCCACACACACGGGGGCTGTGCTGGAAGCTTCTCTCACCGATATGACAGAAGGCATCTGGACGGGGGGGCCGGGGAGCACGGGCACGGTCTGGCCGTTGGCGAGCTGCACGACGAGCGGGAGGGAACCTGTGGGAGACCTGGAGAAACAAAACAACAACCGGAGCTCTCGTGGATCGTTCCGGGTTTACGATGTGCCGGCAGCCCCGGGAAGCTCAAGGGGCAGCGGTGGTTGGTGGATTTGGGCTCATTCGCCCATTTCTGTCCGCTGCTGAGCTCCCACGAGGGGGTTTTGGAAGGATTCGGCTTCCCATTAACAAGTTGACTCCAGAGAAAAGCCCCTAAACACAGGGTGGATGCTGGGTTGGCTTGTGGTTCCACAGGGAGATGGGAACTGGGAGATGGGACATCCCAGCTCGCTGCAGGCTGGGGAGGAGGTGACTGTGCTGGAGCCTAATTGTGACAAATCAAAAATACCAGGAACTATTTCTCTTGTAGATGTTTCTACAGTGAGAGGCAGGGATAAACCCCAAGCAGGGACATTCACTCTGCCTCCATCCCACCACAAACCCCACTGTGCTCCAGCTCCAAGCGTCCCGACTCAGCCTTTCCATGAGAGCAGAGGAAGAGCCAGAGCTGCTCCAGACGATGGGGAGAGGAAGGAAACCATCCCTGCCCCAGGGGCTGATCTCCTCCTCCTCCTCCTCCTCCTCCTCCTCCTCCTCCTCCAGCCATGTCAGTGCTGCGGGGAACCAAGTGGAGGCAGAGCCGAGCTGGGAGCCCGGCTTTGCGGGAGGGAGAGTAAAATAAATCTGCTGCTGCCTCCTCTGCCAAGCCCAGGGAAGGGGCTGGAGGAGGCTGGGCTGCCTGGGATCCTGGGAGGAGGCTGTGCTGGCACGGTGGGAGGAGCAGGGGACGTGGGTCAGAGGGGGAAGTTCATCCTGCCAATAACTCAGGCTGGAATTTTTAAGGCCGCCTTGGGAACGCGAACGCTCGACTCTCCGTCATTTCTATTGGGCATCCCAAATCCTCCAGGCTGCTTTGGAAATCCCAGCCTAACCAGGCGAGTTGCAGGGAGGTCACAGCCTCCCCTCCATCTCTGTCATGCTGACACCAGCCCCACCACCTTGGCAGTGGCCCTAATGAAGGGACCCTTGTTACCACTGCAGCCCCACCTCTCTCTCCAGGTGGGATTTGGGCTGCACAGAGCACAGCAAATCACACTAAAGTCTGACCTACTGGACACAGTTCTGAACAGCCCTAGAGTCTCTGCCTGGGAGGCAGAGGGGCTACAGTGTCCTGTAGCTACCCCCAGGACAACCACTTAACCCCTTCACGCCTCAAGACAGCACTTAAAACTTTCCACCAGGCCGCCTGGATTGATGGTGCCAGAGGGTCAAAGGAAAACACACATAAAACTGTGAAGTGACAGCCCCAAAATACAGAGCGGGCTGGTTAACACAGCCCTGACCAGGGGCGATCGGGGAGGAGAAGCAGGAGCATCCAGGGCCATGGAGCAGGAGCATCCTGACACCAAACAGACAGGGGGGCTAAGCATGCATCTCCCAGGGGCTCAGTAATGTGCTCCCTCCATCCTCAGGCTCCTTCCTTTATGTGCGGGGCCGGAGGAGCCAGAACCTCCATCCCGGTTGTTCCAGGGCAAACAGAAGCAGGTCATTGGCTGTGCCAGTGAGCAAACAGCCCCCCAAGGCAGGGCTGGCTGGGCACAGGAGGTGACACTTGAGAGGCAACAGCTGTCTGGGAAAATCCCTCAGCCGTTACAGCTCCAGACAATTCCGCAGCGCCGGCTCTGCCCGCGCCCGGCGCCGGCAGCCAGCGCCGTGTCGGCGTGTTCGTGTTCAGGGAGCGTTTTCATCCCTCCCCACAGTGAGTTTTGCCTCGTTTCGTTACTCCAGGACAATTAGTTCCCGTTGCCTGCACTCCCATCCCATCCTGCTGCCGCAGACAGTGCCCAGAGAGGCCCTTATGCCCACGCAGCGGCAGCGGGGCTGGCGGCACCGCCGTGGGTCTGGCGCTCAGGGAACTCATTCAGGGAGTAATTCCTGCCCCCTGCTCCGTACTCACCCCAGCTGTCTGTTGGAGGGGGGGGCCTGGGTGATGACAGAGGTGGGGGATGGCAGTGTGGGGTGCAGGGGGTCGTAGCCCAGGTGCAGGGGCAGCGAGCCGGGGCGCACGATGGTGGGAGTGGGCGTGGAGAGGATGACGGGCTTGGAGGGGATCTCCTGGAAGGGAAAACAGAAAACAGGGGACACGCTGTTAATTATCAGTTAATTACCACAGGGCTGGTTCTTCCTCTCTGGGGAAAATTCAGGCACTTTTGTCACAAAACCCCAGGATGTAAGGGAGCACCTCTGCCAAAGACACGTATCTGGTGTCAGTGCAGGGAGTGGGGCACAGGAATTCATACCCCAAATAATCCCCCTCTCTGAATCCCCACCTTATTCAGGTGGTGAAAGTGTCACCTGGACTAACCTGCTCCAAATCCCCACCACCCAGGACACAGGGAAGAGCAAGGCTTTGTGCATCAGCCAAACCCACCGGGAGCCTTCAGGGCAGCGTTTTAGTGAAAACCAGCTTTTCTCTTTCCTCTCTCAAACGGAGGGAAATCAGGCCTCAAAGAGCCCAAATCAGGCCTGGGCAGCCCCACGCGGAGAAACAAGCTTGTTCCCACCCGGAAAAGGGGCACCACCACCTTGTGCTGGGGAGCCCCACCTTCTCCTTGTGCTGGGGTGACCGTGGGTGGGACACGGGGCTGTCTGGTGGGGACGAGTCCACCTCCACCGGCTCCTCCTCCTTGATCTTGATCTCCGGAGTGGAGGGCAGGGACATGTCCAGGGCTCCGGCGCTCTGCGGGGAAAACCAGCCACGGATTGAAAGGACAATTAGCTCATATTGTTCGTGAAACGTTCGGCTGCTCCCAGAGGAAGAGCTCCGGCTCCGAGCTCTTGCCAAATTATTATTATTTATTTGTGGTGAAGCAGCATCTGGGAGCCCGAGGCAGGAGAGCGGTGCCGGCCTCGGCCAAAGGGAGATGGAGGCCCAGGAACGACTGTCAGCCCCAGATGGCACCAGTTTGTGGGTTCTCAGCAACACACACGAGTTTTCCATGGCTTATTTTTATATAATTTTTTTTTTTTTTAATAAAAGGGCTCTGCTAAGGAGGACAGGTACCAAAGCCAAATGCCTGCGAGTTACAGGAGGCACTTCCATTCACAGAAGAGCTGTAAAGCATTGTATAAATCAGCCTGAATTATTTTATTACCCGATTATCAAAAGCAAACAAAGAGCCATGCAAGTTATTAAATATCTATGAGCGCCCCATTAAAATAAAACCCAACCATATGCCTGAACCTGGCGATTTGCCACCACCCTGGGATCCAGCAGTGCCACGTGCCCCAGTTGAACCACTTAACGACTTGCTGGGGCTGCAGAAAGGGACAGGGTGACAACAAGGTGGGGGGGACAGCTTAACTGAAGGGCCACCTGTCCCCTTCCCAGACCTGGAGGGAGAGAAGAACCAGGAGAAGATGGTGCATGGAGCGGTGGAGGAGAGAGACAGGGATGGAGGATGCGGCACCAAATCACCCGGTCCCTCCTCCCATCGGGGTAGGAGAAACTGTCCCTAAATCAGCCCTGACAGTTGTTTGTCCAGCCTGTTCTCCCTCCCTTCACCGTCCATCCCCACGCTCCCCTTTGCTGGCTGGAAGTCCATCCTGGCATCTCCCCTAAACCCCCTCCTGCCGCACTCTGAGTCCTCTCAGGGGAGGGAAAACTGCAGCAAAAGGGTAAATCCGGGCACCTAGGGATGGTTGAGAGTGAGGTGAGGCTCCAGCCCCTCTGCTTGGGGGTGTTTTAGAGCACGGTGAGGCTCCAGCCTCTCTGCCCTTCCCGGATTTCCCAGGGAGGCTTTGCTTGCAGGAGGTGCAGTAACCATTTACCTGCCCTCTTCAAGCAGAGATGCTGCTCTGGGAATCACAAAGGAGCAGGGATTAACATTCAGGGAAGTTTCAAACCACTTAAAGTGCCTCCAGGGAAGCTCCCGCTGTGCCTGTGTTTTTAATTAACAGTGCTGGTGTGAGACCACCCTTGGAACCGGAGGACAGACACAACTGGATGCTGGAAGAGCCTTGGAATGGCAGCTCCAGCCAGGTCAGGGCAGTGACCAACCAGCTGGGCACGGGACCTGCCTGGGCAGGGGGGTTTTGAAGGGATAACGCTTCCCGACACCATCCCAAGCTTCCCGAGCCCCCTCCGCAGGAATATTCAGACTGCAGCCACCCCAAAGCAAAACCCAGGAGAGCAGCCCTGGGCTGGAGAGGCGGCTGGGAGGCCGCAGAGCCCAGGAGCTGGGTGGTCTCCCTGCCCAGACCGGGCTGCTCGGCATTTCCCCTGCGAAACCCCAGCGGCGTCGGCTCCTTCTCCCGGCAGCCGCTGCCAGAACAAAGGGCAGGAGGCTCCGGAGCTCGGAGCAGCCCCCGCCGCATACCAATGAGAGAGATCAATTTCGGTTTAAAGAGCCTGTTATTGGGGGAGCGGGGTGGAAGCCAGGTTTCAGTTTTAATTCTGAATTCCTCCGTTCCCCATCTCGGGAAGATTTACGCGGCTCCGCTCCCGCAGTTTATTTCCGAGCAGCGCCGCTGACTGCGAGCGTATGTACGGACATACATCAATTTAGTAAATGTATGTGCCAGGCTGAGAGCCCGGCACGCATCTGCTGCTGCTCGGATTCGGTAAAGGGAGGGGAGGGTGGAGGAGGGGGGGGGGGAAATGTCCTTAATTAGCTGCTTTCTGATGAGATCCCGTTGTCCTTCAGACCCTCGCGCTCCCGAGGCTGCAGGGGCAGCCTGGATCGATGGCACTTTGCAGAGGGAGCTCTTTGTTAGGAAAAGCTTCCCCTCCTCCATGGAGCCCCTCTCTCTCTGTTTCCATGCACCAGACGCCCTGGAAATGCCAAAGGCACCGGCTGGGCCTGGTCCCTTCCCTGTGACTGCACCACCATTTCGGATCTCGACCCCCAAGGAGGCTCTGAACGAGATTTTGCTCAGATCCCGTCCTGTCCTTCCCTGCAGCTCCTTCCCAAAAGTGTGAGGCATTTTGGGTACTACCCCCCCCTCGTGGTGTTTTTTTTTTTTTCCCTCCTTCTTTTCTCGAAGTGAAAAGCCAAAGGAATAATAAACCATTAAATCCGTTCTCTGCAGGGCTCAGATCGCAGGATAACCAGCCAAAGTCACCCGAGTTACAAAAATAAAGCCCCCCACACGGCAGCAAATTAAACCTGAGAACAACTCAGTTACCCCAGGGCATATGCCTTTCATCAGAGCAGCTCCTGCCCCCCAGTCCCTCGTGGCTCCCCCCTCCCAGTTTGCTCCCAGTACAGTTTTATGGCAGCGTGGCCTTCGCCTCTTGCCTTTTTCTCATCATCCTCAGCAGCTTTCTTGAACTCGTGCTCGAAGGAACTCGCCAGCTCATTGAAGAGTCCCACCTCCTCACAGTTCTTCAGGAACCGAGTCGGGGTCGGAGTCTGATCTGGTTGGGGTAAGAACACCAAGAACTGGGTCAAAGAGAGACCAGAAAATGCATTTCACCCACCTGGGTCCTTCTCTGGAGAGCCCTGGGGAACGTGGCTTCTGCTTTGTGGAAGTCTGGCAGCTCTGCCACTGAGGTGTGTGTCACAAGTGACAATCAGAACGGGACAATCATTTCTTGTTGGTTTTGTTTCTCTGGTGTTTAAAGAATTAACCATTGGAGAGAGAGGGACTGCAGGGATTTCTGTGAATTCCAGGCTGTGGGTTGTGTCCTGCCCCTCCCACGCCAAGGTTTCACTTGTCCTCAGCTGGACAAGGAGGGAAAATCTCCCTGAAACAGCAGATCTTAAAAACATGGAGTGATGAGAGGGTAAAGCAGCTGATGGGAGCAGCTCCACGGCCGGGCAGAGTCCTCACAACCACCACTGTCCACAGCCATCCCTCTGGGGCTGTTCTCCACCACATTAACACGTTGAGTCATGATCTCTCTGGCCATCACCCAGGCCATAAAAGCAGAAGGAAAACTCCCTGTTTTCAGCCAGCCTCCCGTTCCCGAGTGCCGGCAGGTCAGGAGTCCTGGAGCCTCGCACGAGCACGTCACACCCAAAGGATCCATCTGGCAGAAAACCACCAGGATTTTCACACACAAAGGGCATCCCTGGGATAGTCTGGCCTGACCTGCATTAAACACCAGCTGCCTGGTGCTCCCGGTTCCAGCACAGCACCTGAAGTGTCTGTGGAAGACGTGCCCCATGATTCCACACCGGGCAGGGTGGAGCCTCCCCCATCCTTTGAGAATGGACTCCAGCAATTCTTTTCCCTGCTGTTGTGGAACTACACTTCATTTCCAGCCTGACTCCAAACCCTCCCCACTGGGTTTGTCACTAAAGCAAAGGCCCCCTTTGGGCACCTTTCGCTTTCCCCCCCAAAGTCCCAATTCATAAACCAAGGAACTTTGTCAGCTAAAGCTCTCGGCAGGAGGTTGTTTTTGCAGGGATTTATCAGCTCCCAGGGCTCTTTTCAGACCATTCCCTGTTTAGCAATGTCCTCCTGAGCTGCACACGCCAGCTCCAGGCACAGATCTCCAGCAGCTTCTACGGAGCACAAACAAAGCCGTGGAACCTCTCCGGTCCTGCCCTTCCCCAATCCGTACCTCAGGAATTGCAGCAGCTCCTGTCTCACCCCAGAAGTTCCCATATAAATGACTCTGCTGCTGGCAGCTGTAACCAGCCCAGAGAACAATTCTTTACGACCCTCCTTAGCTCAGCCACGGCGCCTCAGCCAGACACGCACCGGGTCCTGCTCCTGCCACACGGCTGCTGCCCTGGGCTCGGCACGGAGCAGGAGGGAAGGAGGGAGCAAGAAAACCCAGAGACAAAATGGTGGTTTAAAAAAAAAAAAACAAACCCAGGACAGAAGGAATGTCAGGCAATAACGGCCTGGATCTCACTGCTCAAAGGCAGCAGGGTTTATAGCCCTCACACCCCCTCCTGCAGCTCTGGCAGCAGGGAGAGCCTGTGTTAGACAGGCTGGTCCTGCCCTGGCCGTGGTTAAATTGGTTTAGAGTATATTTTTTGCTGTTGTTTAGCTCAGAGCAACCCCCTGAGCATCAGCCCTGGGGGAGCTGGAAGAGGAGACCAGACCTTGTTCCTTGTGCTAAAGCTGAAGTGTTTCATCCCCTCAATGTTTACACGAGAGAGGAATCATCGGCTCTGGGAGCTGTGAGGATGAGGGGTGTCATGTGGGATTTTGGGGTATCCTGTGGGATTTTGGCTGGGCATGGTGCCAGGCCCCCCCGCCATCCCCACCTGCCCAATCTGCCCCCTAAACTGATCCAGTAGCACCGACCCTCCCGCTGTGCTCCCTGTTTGGAAAGGTCTGAACTCAAGCAAAGGTGACCCTTAGAAATCTGAGCTTCTGTCAGCTTCTGCCCCAACTCCTTGCCATCAGCTCCCATTAGCCTGATCCCATTTGGAATGAATTCTCCCTCTGGGAGAGCCCTCCCCCTGGGAGCAGCACCCTGCCCTTCCAGCACAGGCTGTGTGAGCTCTCTTCCCATCCCATCCACAGCAACAATTCACTCGAATCCTTTCAGAAACCAACTGAATTCCCATTTCAGCACTGGATTTGGGCTGGAGACAAACCATGAAAAGGCTGCCAGGCTGCTGCAGCATCTTTGTTTCCCTTTATGAACTTTGAAGGCTTCAGGAAGCATTTTCCCTCTCCCTGCTTTCATCAACGTCCTTTTCACCCAGCAGCAACACAGACCTCTCGCACGACGCTTTGAGCAGCCCCCAAACGGGGCGGGAGGGACTCTGGAACCTGCCAGGAGCTGCTGCCAGACAACAATCTGTGGGGTTTGGTTTTTTTTTCCCCCCCAGTTTTGTAAAGGCTGCTTTGACCATGTGCTGTCAGAGCTCCTCACTGGGGCTCTGCAAAATGCCATCTCGGCAGAGCCAGTGCACCTGATGGGGCTTTAATTTATTAACTGCAGCCTAAAAGCTCAGGAAAATTGACACCTGGGCTGAGAGGGGAAGCTGCTTTGTCAGGTTTGGTTCATCGTCCTCAAAGCACATGAAGAAACGTGAAAGACCTTCTGGCCATAAATCCTCCAGCCTTAATAAAAAGGGCGAGAGCTAAAAAAAAAATAATTAAAAAAAAAAAACCCAACCCAAACCTCACAAAACCTGATACCACCATAAAAAAAGAAAAAGAAAAAAAAAAAGAAACTTGGAAGCCTCTGGCTTTCCTTTCCCCCTGATTAAATGCAGATCACAGGAGGTTTTATGGGCGGCAGAGCCGTTTTTGCAGTGCATCTGGTCCCTGGCATCAATCTTTGCCGTCAGGCCCCGCGACCGCGGCGCTGGGCGCTGGCCGGGCACATACCTGCGATGATGACGGAGTCGGTGCGAGCGGGGCCGAATTTCAATGTCATCTCATGCTTGTGTTTATGAACCGCCAGGTGGTCCTCGTTTGTGAACCTCTGAAATGAAACAATTTAGAGAAATGGCGAATAAATGCGTTTTGGTGTTTTACGGGTCCGTCCTGCGGCGGGGCTGGGGGGGGGTGGTGGAGGAGGATGGAGGGGCTGTAACGCGATCGCTGCTGAGGGCTCGGGGCTGGGGAAAGGGGTGTGTGAACAGGGGGTTCAAAATGAAAAGCCATTAACGAGGTTTCTGGGGGAAGGGATGGGGGGTAGCTATTTTTTAATAATCCAGGTTTTTAAGCGACGCGGCGGCTGCAGATGATGGGAATGCGGATCTGCGCTGCTGGGCAACATCCCCGCTTTACTGCCGGCTGATGGAGCGGGGAATTAGGTGCTATTGGGGGCCAGGCAACTTTTTTGGGATGGTGTGAGGCAGCACACGGGTGATTCGGGCCGTGGGTTTATGGGGCAGGACGGAGCGGCCGCCTGCGGAGCTGGGGGAACATCTCATCCTCCACCAAAATTCCACCTGCAGGGACAACTGGAGGACAAAACCCCACCTTTCCGGGAGGGTTTTAGTGAGGATCAAAATCCCCCTTTAAGGCTTTAGGGTGGTGGGGGCTTCACGCCCGGGCTGGGTGCGCGGGGCCGGCGCCGAAACCCAGACAAAGGGACGAAGGGCTGCGCCAGCCCCACGCGCCGGGATGAGGGAAAGGGGAGGGGGGAGAGGCAGGGACGGGGTTAAAGCAAATAACCATAAACCCCGAGGATGGATTGCGTCTCTCCTAATAGACTGCGACAAACGGCGGCCGAGGGCACGGCGCGGCCGTACCGCAGGATTTTTATGCATCCAGCAGCATCGGGCTGCTTCTAGAAAACGCTGCAGCAGCACCAGCAGCAGCAGCAGCGGCAGCAGCAGCGCGTTCCTGCCCTTTTCCCCTTCCTTTCCTCCCTCTTTAAACCACCCAAAACCCCAACCCACCCAAAGCCACCTGTTCCCGTGAACCCGCTCAGGCGTGACACCCTTTTCCGACGCTTATTTATGGCTCTGTTGCTTTAGGGAGTAAATCTGAGTTTTTCCAGGCTGGAAGCAGCCACGGCACCTTCCCAGGGGGGACATGAGTGCAGGCAGGGGGATGGTCCCTTAGAGGCAGGGGACCCCAAGACACGGGGTCCATCCACACACACAGACCGTCCACGTTCCCCTCAGGCGCAAGAACAAGGGGGTTACGTAAGGTGTCCTTCAAAATGCTGGATCAGAAGGTGCTTTTTTTGGTGGTGACTCGTAATTCGGGCTCAAATTAAAAGAAATTAAGAGCTGGTGGGAGAAAACCAAAGAGGTTCTCGCCCGTGTAACTCCAGGCACACGCGTTCCGGCTTTCCCAGCCTCCGCTCCCAGGACCCCCCTCTGTAACTAACCCTTAAATAAACCTGAAATCAAATTTCTCAACGGTCTGGCCTAAAACACGCCTGGTTCTGGGCTTCCTTCCTCCCCGCAGCTTCCGATCCCTCCAGCTCGGCTCCAGCCGGCACCGGGAGCGCTTTCCAAGGAGCATCACGAATCCCGGCGACACCAAAACGTCCCCGAACAAAGGAAGAGCGAGCGAAGCGTCGCCTTCGCCGACCGAGACGGAATCCACGGCACTGGGAAGCACTGGAAGAGGGGCCCGGGGAGGGAAGGGGCACCCACACTTTGCCACGGTTTTGGCCCCAAAGCCCCAGGTTTTTATGGGATTCGACTGCCGGTCCCGCTCGCCCCCGGTGCCGGTGTTGGCGGAGGGGAAATGGGTGGGTTGGGGTGAACCGAGGGAAATAAATCAGGGTTTTGTGCGGAGCAGAGGGTTTGGGATGAATATTTAGCAGGCAGGCGGCCGCTGGGTAGCGGTTGTCGGAAATACTGAGCACCAGAGGCAGGGGGAAATAAAAGGAAAAAGGAGAAAATTCCCGCTTCTCCCGCTCAGTTTTCTGCTAAAGAAATGGGATTTTTAGGTCAAAGAGGGAAGCAGCAAGAGGTGTGGAATATGGTCGTGTCTCTCCCCGCCAGCCCCAGCCCCACATTCCAGCCCAGCCTCGCTAGCACCGGGTTTATTTTAATCTTTCATTTTGCTTCATCGCAGGATTTTTTTTTTCCCCCTCATTTCTTTTTTTTTTTTTTCCTTCTTCTTCTCAGGCACTTTTCGTGCGTTCCGTGCGCGTTACAGCTCTATTTAACATCTTTATGTGGGCTCACAGCTCGGGAGCTCTCTCTTTCCCTGCACAGAAACGCTCACAGACACAATATATCTTTCTCCACACATTTCCAAACGCCGAAACCCAGAGGCTGAGTCTGGCACTTGGGTTCTAAATCATGTCATTTTACACAGAGAGGGGAAGCGGGGGGGGTGGTGGTGGGGTGGGGAATGAGGGGGGAAAGAGGGGGAAGAGTAGGGAAAAAAATGGAATGAGTTAAAGCCACAGCACCAGCTTTAATATTTAATCTCCTTCCATCAGCAGCTGACATACAGCAGGGTTATTTCAGCTGCTATTTTGCGGGTGTCGGAATTAAAAAGAAGATGTTGGCTGTAAAGTCTTCGGGGTGAGGGACAGGCACGGGGCTGACAATGCCACCTCGGTGCTGCCAAGCGGCCCCATGAGCGCCCACGGCCCTTCAGGGCTGCAGGAAAAAGGGTGGAAGTGCCTCCTGCTGCCCCGAGTTTGGCTCTTCCCTCCCACCCCAGGGCCCTGCGGCTGCGTTCGGGGTTTGGGTGACACGGGGTTTGTTCACCCGAGACTGTCGCAGCTCTTTGGAGCCAAGGGCTCCGAGGCAGCTCCGCATTCGTTACCCAACAGGCTGTGACAGCTCCGTGGATAAATGTGCTCATTTGAAAATCCTTATTTAATGGGAGACAATGCTTCCAGCTGGACCAACTAACGCGCCGTCTCTGTCGGCGCGAGAGCCGGGGAATAAACGCGGTGGGCTGAAGCCTGGATCTTCAGGCAGGAGAGATTTTTCCATCAGTTCAACAAGCACAACACGAGGAACAAGGGGTTGCTCTGGGTTTTTCCTCTTTTTGCAGAGCCTACGGCTGCTTTGGTGCAAAGGGAGGGTGAGGCGAGTGCCGAGCGGGGCCGTGCAGGAGCCACTGGCAGCTCCAGCTCTGGTTGGTTTTTAACCTTGACAGTCCTGTTCAGGGAACATCAACCCCAGCCATGCACCCAAAATTCCATGTAATAAAGAGCAGCAGCACAGACTGTTCCACAGGCACACGGGTGTGCAAAGGAGCCGTTCCCAGTCAGACAGCACCAGCCCCGGGACAGCCTCTGATGGCTGGAAGGGGTGAGGAGCCAAACCTGCCCTCCCCACAGGGAGCTGCTCCCACATTAACCCCAGCACAGCTGGAGTCTGCCCACGGATGCCACGGCACTGCCCTGACACGGCTGAGACACCTGGATACACGGAAACAAAAGGGAACAGCAGGTGTCTGCACTGCAGTGCGGGAGGGAAATGATGCACTGAGTGCTCGGCGCGGATAAGCTGAGCTCAAAGCCACCGGCTTTAAAGGGAGCCACCACGGGTTTCATTTCCAAAATTCACCTGGTCCCTGTGCTCCCTACAGCCACTGGCCAGGCCAAGGGGCTGGGCATGTCCTGGGGTCTGCCTGGCACACCTTAGGTGAGGGGCAGGACACCCACGGAGCCGTGAGGAGAGCAAAGCCCAGGCCCTGGGGGGCTGCTGGACCTCCTGCCCACATCCCAGCCCACCCAGCACACCCTCCCCACTCTCCTGGCTGCGGCAGCCCCCTCTACCCACGCCCCATCCATCCATCCACCCATCTCGCCGTGACAGGGCTCCGATGGATTTCCAGGCTGCGGAGACGTTCCCCGCTCGCTCGGCACAAGTGCAGAGTAACTAATGCGGGGTCAGGGGTGCCCCCGGGGCCGGGGGCCCCCAGGTCGGCCGTTCCACAGTGAGTGATGTGACCCCCGGTCCTGGCACGGATCCGGGCTCCATCTCACCCATTTCCCATCTGAGCCATGACAGGGATAATTCCCTCCCTTGCGGAGAGGCTGCACGGATTAATTCACTAATGTGCATAAAGTGCCCCGATTCGGGAGTGATTCATAGATTTAGAGGCCGGGGGGACCATTCCAATTATCTGCCCGGGGCCCACGTGAGTCCCCCGGCTGGGCCCATTTCCATGGGAAAGGAGGTGTCGGGACAAGGAGGGAATGCCGCAAAGACTCGTTGCTTTGAGAGAACGCGACAACGGCGCGGACAAATTGTCTGATTTTCACACTTACAGGAGACGACAGGCAAAGATTTGGGAGCTGTGTCCTCCTGGAGGGTCCCCGCTGGCCCAGCTTCCAGAAGAGCTCGGAGCCCCCCCCCAGTTGCTCCCAGCTGGAAGCTCGTGGTTGTTTTTGATGGCAGCCACAAGTCCCGGCAGCAGCCGAGGTCACCGAGCGCTTCTGGAAGGCCGGCTCCAGTGGCGGCATCCTCCTGCTAGAGAAGGGATGACAAGCACCTCCCGAGCCTGGAGGAGGATGAAGGAGAAGGAGCAAAGGTTTAGAAGGATCAGCTCAAAAAAAAAAACCAAACGGACCATGAATTGCACTCGGAGGTGCTCGCAGAGCTCAGCTCCTGCTCGGCACAGAGGGGCTGCAGCAGGGGCTCCACACCGGGGTCCTTTGACACCAGGATCGTTTCCCACAGCCCGGGGGGACACAGGAAAAGCTGGAGGAGGGGGAAGCAACCCCAGCCGGTCGGATCCTGCTCCTCACCGCTGCAAAACACTGGAGCACTGAGCACCCCGTGTCCTTCCCAAGTCACAGCCAGCAGGAAAAGCCTATTCCTGCTCCCTCAGTGGAAATCAGGAAGGTTCCAGTTGGTTCAATCCCTCAGGAAGGAGCTCGGGTGCATTTTGTGCCTTTTCCCCTCTCTACAGATCCCCCTGCAACTAAAACAGCAGCGAGATTAAACCTCGAGATGTTGTTTTTGGTGCTAGAGACTCCATAGAGCCTGTGGCTCTTCCTTTCCCTTTAAAAACCCCGTTCCCTCCTGCCCTGTGATTGATTCC